CCCCGCCGGCGCTGCCCCGCCGCTCTGGGGCGCCCCCTGCCGGGCGGTGGCGGGGTCGGTGTCCGTGTCCCGCCGCGCCGGGCCCCGCGGTCAGGCGGCGATCGGGGAGCGTCGTACGGAAACCCGGGGAAGCGAGGTGGGTCTCGGCACCCTCCTCGGGGCCGCCGTGGAGCAGCGCTTTGTCTGGCGCATCCCTCCTTTCCCTTCTTTCTCCCCTTTTTTTTTTTTTTTTTTTTTTTATTTTTTTTTTTTTTTTTTTTTTTAACGTGGAAGTGTCCGGCGTTTCGTCTCATTAAAATCCGTGTGGGCTGTGCCCCCGGTAAGCGGGCAGGGTCTAGCACCGGCTCGCACACTCTCTTACATGCTCAATCCACACAGGTGTGCACTTTCATCAGTTTTCAGCTGCGTGGTGTCACCGGGGTTTGTCCCGGGGTTAATTTTCGCTATCGCTCCCAACCGCCGCCGCTCTTTTTCCACTCAAAAGTCCTTTCCGTCATCATCCTCCGACAATAGCCCTCGTTCGAGGAACGAGATATCACCATCTGGTAAAGTTTTATGCGTTTAACGTCATTTTATATGTGAGCGGAATGAGTAACTGCTTTTCCTCGCCCGTTTCTTTGTAGGGAGAAGCAGGAGTTTTTAAACCATCTTCCCGTGGCATCTGACTTCCTCGAGGAGGAGGTAAGGTTAATGTCATGTAAAATTATCGTCCTTTATTTCTAATGTTGTACTAATCGCGCTTCTGTAGGCGTACATTTTGGAAGCTGTGCTTGAGTTCATGCATACTTTCATGCAGAGCTGATGAATAACCGGCAGCGATAGGGCTCTTACACCACCGGGGCTGGAAGTGTCTGTCAAACCCACATTCTCACTGCGTTATGCCACTATCATAGTCTTTGCAGTTTTAAAAGAACTGTAGATAATTCTTCCAGATATTGAAACATTTAGTTTATAGTTCTATTGCTGTGGTTGTCACCTCCACTTTATATCAAATTTGAGACTCGTTTCTTCAGGATGTCTCTATTTTCTGCTTTATTTGCACGTTGATAGCTCTACCGAGTGACTAGTCACAGCAACTTTTTTCCTCTGATAGAAGCATATTAAAATGAGACAGCCTAAGACTAATCTGCTTTGCAGGACTTTTCAGCTCTTTGATTAAAGAGAAATGAGAAGTTTGTTTCGCGACTTATGTTTATGTAGCTCCATTAACAAATGTGAGGCTTGAGGATGCATTTGCTGCTTCCCTTCGTTTTACTGAAGGTACGTACATTTGAAGGTGTGGATAAATTCTTGGTATCAGGTGTTTGTCTGCAGCTGCCAGTGAGATGATATTAAATTTCTATACTCTCTATATATAATTTGTCATAATTTCCCAGAAGCTAAACCATTAATGCAATGGAAGAAACATTTACTATTCAATTCTTACTTAACGATGGGTAGGATTTATAGGCTGGCTGTGCGCTCTTCATTTTATTTAAATTAAGACTTGTGAATTTAAGTTCAGCTTGTATAAAGGAGTAATTAAAGTCACTATTTTTATAGCCTTCAGTCAGGTCCTGCAAAGCTGTTTAGAATGGTCTTTGTTTACTTTAGTAGTCAGACTCCAGTAGGGTTTTTGATGTGAGGGGAACTTGGATTTGAGAAGACTGCACACAATGTGGTGACCCAAAATGTAGCAATATTTGAACTTGCCTATTTGTTTTTCTACACTGGTTTCATTGGCATAATTTCATTTAGAATGTGCAAACACGTGTGGTACAGCGTAAAATAGCTTAATAAATTAGTGCTTGAACATACAGTAGGGATCAGCTGTAAATATTTTCTTTCTGGGAGGGGGGAAAAGAGGCAGGGTGATCTTAAGTAGTAGCAAACTATATTTTAAAAGCACAGCCACTGGTAGGCTCTAAGGGGTTCAGTTGCAGGTGGCTTGTAGTGGATGGCGTTAAACTTGGGTATCTTGGATATTCACCTTAATTTAATTACTTTAATAGCTACTTTCTGTTAAAACTTTAAAATCTAACGATCCTGCTTTTATTGCAGTCTTTAAAGATGTAATCGTTCTGGTGTGTGTCTGAGATGTAAAACTTAGTGCAAGGAGAGGCAACAGATTGGTTCCGTCATACGATTTTGTTGGGTTTTTTTGAGAGTACTTAAAAGATTATGATGGATAATGCTGTCTTGCCAAAGAATGCCGACACAGGTGTTCATCATTATCTTAATTAAGATCCTGAGAAAATGTCATCTTTCGGCATGAATTATGAAGGGAGATGCATTAGGAGATCATTTCAACTTTTTTTTTTTTTTTTCTTTTTGCAGGGGTAGATGAGGAGGAGGCTGTTTTCTCAAAACCTTTTTGATATTTCTTTATCAGAATACCTGACCTTAGACACTTACTGAATAATTTGTTTCTCCACTTGTGAATTTGTGAATATATTACCAAGAGATCTGTATGTGACGTTAAAGGGAATCCTCTTTAAAAATAAAATAAATAAAAAAAATACACACACACACACACACCCAGTTACTCTATTCTGTTTAAAGCTGCCCCTATAAGCAAAATGCTAAGACTCAGATGGTAGTGGAAATTGCTGCTGGAAATGTCTGCTAAGATGTTTTAAACACAGCGTGTTTAAAAGTATTAAGAACTCATACTAATAACAGAAGAATACTCATACTCAAGTATTAAGAACTCATACTAATAACAGAAAGAAATAAATATATACGAATATTTATCTTTTTGATTAAGCATGAAGAGAAAAAAAAAATTTTTCCTTTTCTCACCTTAGCACTACCATGGAAGTAAAACTAATTAACGTGGAAAGCGGAGGGAGGGGCTTGTGCCTTTCAGTGTTAAATCACTACATTATTAGCTGAGGAAGAGCTAAAACAGTGCATCTGAGATACCAGCTGAAGCCTCGGCAGTGAAACTTCTTCCCTGCAGATGCTTCACCGGAGCGTGCGTGGCTGCTGCCTGCCCAAAGATGCAGTGCTGGGGGTTAGAGGGTCGGTGGCAGGGTAGGTTTTTGGGGGCTCTGAGCTCGGGCAGAGGCTTTTGGGGAGAGCTCTGCCAGGCACCTTCAGCTGCTCTGCTCTTTTTGCTGCCTGCACTGCCTTTTGCCCGAGACCCTACGTGCCTCTGCGCTCCGAGAGCCAGGTGTGAACTCCTGAACACCTAACTCTTCTTGCCCGTGTCCAGCCATGGGGTATTAGGTAGCTCACACTAGATTTCGATTTTTCTCGGCAAGCCTTGCCACGTAAAATCACTTTTTGTCTGCAAAAAGAAGCCTGATTGTCAGTCTCGGTCCTTTTTTTTTAAAAGATTGCATCGGCAAACCTGTCCGTGGAATAAAACCATCCCCAGAAGTGCAGCTGGCAAGCCTTTTAAGCACCTAGTTATTGTATTGAGCATCTAACTCAAAAGGTCTTGACGGTATCATGGGAGAACCTAAAACTGTATTTCAGCTTCCTTGAAGTTTCCTGCAATTACCTTAAATAGCACGATTTGCTTGAATTTGTTGGCATGATATGGACTAAGTTAAGAATGTCTTTAGGGTTTATTTTGCTTACGGTTCCGTGGGCATATGCAGAAAATAGACTCTCCTAATGGTTGGCTTTAGTGGGGAAAATGAAAAAGCTGCTCTCTTTCGCGTCTAAACAAGCTTTTTACTTAAAGCAAAGCCACGTCTACTGTTAGTTGGCATCTTGTTGTGAAAGAGGAGCAGCGTGGTGGGAAGGATGGCTGTGGCTCCCTGAGCCCTTCTCCGGGACCTGTGTATGCCCGTAGCTTTCCAGAGAGTGGCAAATGCCCTTCTGGAGGCAGGAGCTGCAGCACGGACTGGGAACAGCGTGGGGGTGAGAGGTTGGGTGGCTTTGAATAGCAGTGTCCCCTTCAAAAAGGGTTTGTGTTTTGTCTTGCTTTACTTCCATACATTTGCAGTCCTTAGGGCTGCTGTTTGTGAGACCTCGGCATCACCTCTCTGAGGAGGAACAGAAAGCCAGGCAGCCTTTCTAGCCTTACACCCAAAGAATTCTTTTTAAAGTTCATAATTTCTACCTTACACCCAAAGAATTCTTTTTAAAGTTCGTAATTTCTATTTTTGGTGGTTTTTTTTAATTAATATTAGAGCTTTTTAGTTTCTTTTCCTTAATGTGGTTGATGCAGATGCAAATGATTCTTGAAGCTGTTTTCTGCAGATTGAAGTAAATGTACTTTTAGAGCTAGAATCTTATTTTTTAATATAAATCATTATATTTAAAAATATAATGGGGGGGGGGGAGCAAACCAGCCAGACCTTTCAAGGTGAATGTGGATCTTTGTAACAGAGACTTTACTAATAAACTTGTGACTGATCAGTCTCCTGCTCTTCTTGAAGGAAATGCATCTTCCTGAGCTCTTTTTTTTTTTTCCCTACAACAGAACAAAACCTAGCTTTTTCTTTCCATAAGCACATCTTTTTTTTCACAGTATTTCTCAGTATTTCAATTGCAGATTGAGAAGCCAGCGTTTACCTCTGAAATACTCTCTGCTGACATCTACATAACTTTTCATGCCCTTCAGATTTAATTTTGTATAGAATAATGCATGGTATAATGTGTAGGTCCTCTGTTTTCAATTAAGCTGTATTAGGTAACTATGCTCTTCTTTCATATCCCATAGCAAAGTATCAATATCCAGATGGCAGCGTGCTGGGAGAAAATAGCTACAGGCTTGGCTGCTACTGTAAAAGCCAAGAACTAACATTTTAGCCTGTGTGATAAATAAAACCGAGGTTGCGACTCTTGGCGTATTGGAGTTGCACTAAATAATGCTACAGTGCTGTTTATTACTGGTTTCATTGGATAATATGCAGCTGTAAAACCTGCTTGAAGCTTTTATTAAGAATACTCTGTCATTATAAAAAAGGTGCCTGCAACTTCTCTATGATATTAACGGTGCAGGAATGACTTGGTTTGTGCTGACTCCCTGGCTGTTGTCTCGGGAGGACCTTCCCCTCTCCCTGCTTCTGTAGGCACAAGGGTCCATCAGGGTCCTCTTAGGAAGAGGACAGCTCTGGAAAGCCTAGGGTTTCGCAAGCTGTTTTTAAGGTATTTTTTTGCTCTTTGCTTTTTTGTTAAGTTTATTTCAGTATTACATTTCTTGCTTCAGTTTAAAATGTAGCTGATATTCTCTCTGGTATAAACTGTCCTCCTGTGTCCCTGTGTAAAACTTAGACCGAGGTAACCTGGCTGGTTGTCTGAGGGGAGGCTGCAGGATGGCTGAGAGACTTCTGTGCTGGCTGGGGAGGTAATGGCAAGACGTGGTAGTAGGAGAGGGACTGGGAGTCCTGAATCCAGGGCTTGCTTTCTTGCTCAGTTCCTGGCACATCCCGTGGCCTAGGTTTGTTCAAGTAACCTCTGTGCCTCTGTTTACCTGACTGGTACCCTCTGCTTTTCTTAGAAACGTTCAGGTTTGAATTGGCATCTGTCATGTATTAGACTGTTGTGCTTTTGAGCAAAAGCAAGTTATGAATGCTATTGCTGATTCATTAGGTAAATGCCATTACATTTCCATATTCCACCGATCCTTTATTTTCACAGGCACCTGTTTATGGTGCGCTGCTCGGAAAAGGCAGAGTTGAGCACCATCCAGTGGGACGTGGCACTAACACAGCATCCCATAAATGTGGGATTTAACAGACGCTGGGTCCATGAGTGAAGAAACCTTTGCATTGTTCAGTCTCTAATCCTTCTCTGTAAGAGAAACCTGCTCTCTAAATTAGTGACAAATACGATCTTTTTGTTCCATTTCCTCGTTCTCCACGTGTCCATTTTTTGCCTTTACAGAATGCACCCAAGAGCAGAAGCAGTGAGGAAAATGAATCCAGCAGTCTGTCCCATCCTGTACCCGCCTGAGTACAGGAGGAGACCTCTTACGAAGCCAGAATGTGTCTGGGCTTGCAGCTCTTTTTAACCATATTAAGTCCTATTCAGAGTTAATGGTAAGTAATTTGTTTTGTGTATGTTATGATTCATTAAGTAAGGCGTTACAGTAGTGGCACTTTCCTTTGTGGTACTGGCTTCCTTCTCTAACAAAATGCAGAATTAATGTCTCCAGATACATCAGCTTTAGTCCTGCTTCTGTTAAGAAAATCCTGTGACGCTGATGAGCAGTGTTGTAATAAGTATGCTCTTGTTTTTCTTTGTCCTCTCCAGATGAGGTCAGTGAGGCTGGTCCAAGAGGTGCTGAAGGAGGGAGGAACAGAGTTGGAAGGCAGGAGCTATTTCAAAGCAGGATGATTCTTCTTTCTGTAGAGCGCCGTTTCCAGAAGGCAAGGACTTTATAAACTTCATTAGGTAGAGTATTGATAGTAGTGTCATATCAGCAATATAGCATGATGTAATATTGCATGGCTTTATTCTTCAGTCATCATGTGGAGCTGCATTAAATAAATGAACATACGGTAGTTCCTTAAATGAACATCGTGAGTGACAGCACTAAACTGAAAATTTAAAGGAACTAGAGGAAATACTACTAGATTTTTTTTTAAGCCAGTGTCTTTTCTTTTTTCAGCTCTTTCATAACCTGTAGCTCTTTTGTTTCTTGAGAAAGATGCAATGAAGAAAAATACCTTTTTATTCGAGACATTGAAGCCAGTTCAACTTCTTAACCAGAAAGACTTTGCATTCCTCTTAGCTGTTACAGCATCTTAAAGCTTTGTCCAGCAGAAAACAGCACTCATGGTGCTGACCTGTGAACTTCCCATAACCATCTTTAGTGCCACATGGTGTACTGCTGCTCTTCTTAGGGCTTCCCTGGCTGGGGAGCGGTTGCAAAACCTCTGCTGTGGCACAGCCCTCTGTGACCTCTTGCATCCAAGGATGGAATTTGTGAGTCTTTTTTTCTGCCTGGAACTTGTGGGAGCTCCCTCCTGAGCCCGATAGTTCTCAAATATTGCAAGAAAAGGTCTGACAGTGTTGTCTGGGAGATGTGACCGACTTTATTATTAACATTTATTAGGTGCCTTACAATGGAGGGGAAGAGTCATGGCCTTCATTTTTACAAATAGGCGATCCGGCGTATAGGAAGAATGGATCTCCTCTATCTTCTGTAATTCTTGACCCACCTAATTAGGTGATTGTCAGGAGAAATAACAGCCTGGCTCAGGGGAATGGCACTGGGGCAAGATGACGACGCGGTCAGTGTGGCAACACCGCTTCTCCCTCCCAGAGAAGCTTCTCCCAAGCTGGGTCCTTCCCTCTCTGAGTGTCTGCTGGCCAGGGAGGGGATTTAAAAGGGCTGCTGAATCTGGGGCTGTCTCTCTGTCGGGTAGCTTCGTTATAGATCCCATCCAGGGAAAAAGTGAGGTGCTGCAGCTCCTTTCTAGGAGCTGCTCTTGTTTTTTAGCGATTACTCACCCCCTGCCTCCTCCCGCTTCCCTTCACAGCGGAGTGGCCTTTCCCCAGGAGAAGCTGATTCACTTCACGGCTGGTATTTGCAGTTTTCCTGCACTTAGTTAGCCTGTGAGGCAGTGGCTGTTTCTTCTGGGCTAAGACTTTCGTTTCTTTTTTTTAAAATAGTTTATTTTACTAAGGAAGAGAATCTGTCCAGCTGCTACAAACAATAGTGGTTTTGATGTGTATCAATAAAGAGTTAGAGATGTGTATTTTCCCTGTAGTAGATAAAGAGACTTAAAGCCTGCTTTAAAGGAAGGCAAACCTTGGAGAGGTTTACTTAGATGTACAATATGCCCTATTCTTTCATTTTTAAAAACAGTATTAAGGGATTTATTTTTTTTTTTTGCAAGAAAAGAGAAAATAATTTCATCTTTTTGATTGCATTTTTTTTTTTCCTCAGTCTCACAGTTGTGAGATAAATATTCAGAAATATGAGTTGGTGAGGTTAATGTGATTAAAATGAATATGTGATAACGGGCTCTGCACATTAAAGATTAAGAGCTCAAATTATAGACTCTGGAGTGAAACACTCCATGAGCGTTGGCGAATTTTGTTTGTGCAAGGCACGCAGGCCTGGGCCCACGGCTGCAGTTGCACAACAATTTCATCCTCTCTGCTGCTTCCTTGTCGCCTGATCCTCACAGGAATCCCTCAAACGCCGTGGTGTCAGGGTGAAAATGTACTCTGGGGTGAGGTGGGGGGACAAACGGGAGAATAATTTCAGTTCAAGCTTTAGTGTTACCCTATGAAAATAGATCAGTTTTACACAAATTATTCACATTTACAAAGATCAGTTTATAGCATTTTGACTGCACAGTAGTTAATTCTTTATGTATAAATTGATCCTTTATACAAATGTTAATTCCATATACAACAGTTAATCTCTTTGAGTGCAAGTTGGAAATACATTATCAATTAATTTGTGTAGGTTGTGACTTTCTTTCCCCTGTACTCTGCAGTGGTTACCCACACTAAAGTTGAGTCGGTGTGTGCTTAATGAAAATTAGATGTGAAATTTAATATGTAGAGGACAAAGAAGCATTGAAATCCTTATTGCTCTTAAAAAGACAAAGGTACCTCAGACGATTCTCTATTCTTAATCTCTTGAGAATTTGATGCGTAATTCTGTTAGGAGCAATTTGCAGTGGATGAAATGGAAATATTTTTAGAAATAGTGTATTATTGCTCACCTTTTGTGAAGCCTAGTTCTGTTTTAAAATGCTGTGCGAGAGGCTGGTTTGTAGACAAATCTTCCATTGAGAAAGAAAAGCGCCTTGGACTTCCATAGAGAGACAAGCCTGGCTGTTCTATCTCTGAAATTTGCTAATGTTGCAACCATTTAAATTAAGTGTTTGTTTACATAACAGCAGTGGCATTTCTCCTCCTCTTCCTCGCAGTTTTGTCCAACTAGATGTTATGAGTGGCAGTTGCAGTGACTGCTAAGTGTTTAAATGATGACACCATTATGTGAAGTGATTTTGAAATGAGAGATTCCAGCCAAGAATTACATCTGCTCTCATCTCCTTCAAATCATACTCTCTGGCTGTGCAGATTATGATTGATTTGTTTGTGACAGATTGCAGGAAACAGTCATTGATTTTTCAATATTTTACCTTAAAATTATTTACAGTTGTAACCAAGGGGAGGTATTTCCATGGGCTGTCAGCCCCTGAAAGACTGGGATAATATTCCCTGCTCCCTGACAAGACAAATTACCCGTAATGAGTGCAGTAGCTGAAGGGTATACTTTTATTTTAAAATATGTCAATAACCCCAGTGACTAAACGAATATTGATTCAGCATAATGAAGCCTGAGTAATGTGAAAATGAGCTCTTCAAGGAGCATGGTAAAGACTTTCTTTTTAGCTTGTAGCAAGAAGCTTTTCATTCTTTACTGTTAGGTAGTTGAAATGTGCAGTCTTAAACAAGTCATCCTTAAACAGCAGTAATATGTGGAATAATGTAACAAAAGAATTTTGGTGGGTTTTTTTTTTTCTATTTGGATATTTTTTTTCCCAAGTTTTTTTTTCTTCAATGAGTTTCAGCAAATCAGACATTTAAAGAGAAAAATGCATGTTATCCAGGGCAGAGATAGAATTACTATTGGTGTTAATGTCTTTTGCAATAATATTCTTCAGCCAGCCTAATGGCATTTTTAAAGTGGATTCTGCATATATGGGCATGGAAATGTATCTAAATAAACTGTAGATTTAATTTCATGTTATTGACTTCTTGGACATATTGATGTGTGTTCTATGTGATGGGTCTAATATTCTTGTCCTTTAACAATTTAGAATAGCTGGTTTATGAGAACCTAGAAATACTGTGTTATAAAACTTAGTTACTGTAGTGCACATTTTTCTTTCTGGTGCCTTGTAACACTGCTTGTTTCTTATCAAATGAGAATTTTCAAGCAGTAATTCATTTAAATTACAGTAATTTATGCAGTGCCATAGGTGTGGTGTGGAAAAGCATCTAATAGATTAATACGGATGTACTTGAGTTGTTCAGGGTAAGGATTAGATTAAAGACTGTGTTGAGGTACAATTTTTTTTAACATTAAAAATATCGAACGCAAAAAAAAGTTATCTGGAAGGATCAATTTGTCATTTGTATTCAAGAGCATTGTGCAATCTTGGGAAGGCTCTGCTGAAGCGCTGGGTATCAGTAGCTGTGTAATCCAGGCATAGGCAAAAAGATATTTTCTTGAGGTGTTTGGGTACGTGCCAATCATGAAATAATGTCATAGCCAGAAGCATTTAGTGAGCGTGTTTGGGCACGAAGACGACTTTCCTTATTTTCTGAGGACTGACTTCAATTGCATCCAACTGCCTTGTGAACAACCTTCAGAAAGATGTTTTCCTACCAGCACACAGGTGATTTTTTTCCAAATGTCATTCCTTTAGTACAGCTAGAAAGTATTTCAGGAGGCACTTGAGAACCTGTGGCATTGAGAGTTAAATGGCAACCTTGGAATGCGAGATATCTTCCTGGTTTTAATTTGTTAAGTTTCAGAAAAAAGTAATGTGAGGTACATTCCAGCAGGTTACAACTGTAAATAATTGTAGTTTTGAGAGGGTCTGTGCATAACACCTGGGGTTTGCAAAATACTGGAGAATCGTTAATGGCAAAGGAGTAATAACTTCAAATATACGGCAGTGACAACTGGAGAGTTTGGGGCTGTTGGAAATGAAGGTTCAAAGGGTAGCGTTTAAGTGCTCAGAGGTATTTTACACACCCCAAATTCTCTGCCTGTTCTCTTTGTTTCTGTACCTTTTGTTTCTTTGACCAACAGCAGGAGATGGGAGGGGAAGGTCCTCTTTTGGTAGCTTTCTCACAGTAGCGAGGAAGAGGGAGACTGTTCAGGGCTGGGTGCCGGGTCTGATGCAGACTGAAGGGCAAATAAATATTTGTTTTAACTACATCTCCTTTTCCCGAATAACACAGCATGAGCTCAGTGGTACCAAACTGAACAACAGTGGATACTACTGATGGCTAAACCAAAGTGGGCTCTGCTTGCAAGCCATGGGCTCGTTTCACTTGCAAGACAGGTAACGTCTCTTGCTTTTGCTGCCTTTCCCAACGAAGAGTTTGCTTATTAAATACACCCTCCTGGCATTCTGCTTCAGGCCTGAACTGTGAGCTTGGCCCTTATGGTACATTTCTCAGCTGCAGGAAGGTGACAGATGGTTTGCAAGCTTGGTGGGTGATCCCAGAGATTTCTGGTGATGGTACCTTGGAAGCTCCTCAGTTTATTCACCCATCTCCTTTCAGTGTTAGAACTGCTGCAGTTGCTGGTCTGCTTTCAGGTGACTATGGAGGAGAAAAAAAAACCCCAAACAAACAACCACTCCAAATCATTCATCAGTTAAAAGTTCTCGTGGCATTTGGCA